ATAAAAAACTTTAATAATTTCTTTTTAGAAAATAAAAAAAATTAATTATTAAATATAATTTAATAATAAAATACTATAGTATTATTATATTATATATAAAGGATATTTATACTATTTTATTATATTATTTATAAATTTAGTTAGTTCTTATAAAACCTAAAAGAAATATACTTTTCTTATTATTATTACCTTATTAAATAATAGTAATTATATTATTTAATTAGTACTACTAATACTAATTTAAATTTTACTTAATCTAGTTTACTAATATTAAATTACTAAGATTATTATTAATTTATTCCTTTAATTATTTTATTTCCTTTATTAAATTATAATATTATAATAGTTAATTTAAATAACCTAGTAAATAATATACTTTTAATAAATAAATTATTTATTTACTTAAATCTTAACTATAATTAATAATATAATTATTAATAAAATCCTAAGATAATAAATAAATTTATAATATTAAAAAACTTACTTACTTAAATAAGTAAATAGCTAAAGTAAATATAAGGCTTTTAAGAAATTTATTAATTACTAGTAAAAATAAAAATTACTTAAGTTAATAAATTTATTAATTAGTAACTTAATTAAATAAATAAAATACTTATAAATTATATTATAATTAATTAAATCTAGTATAACTGCATTTATATTTATATTATTACTTATATTAATATTAATATATAAAATAATAAATAAAAAAACTATAGTAATATATAAAGCATTTATATAAATATAAAAGTTACTTAAGTAAAGTTTATTTTTACTATAGAAAACTTTATTCTAGTTAAAAGACTTATATATACTTATTTAATAAAAAGGAACTATATTACTACCCTACTAAATAAATAATAACTTCCTAAAGATAAGTGAAAAATTACATTTGGCAAGAGTAGTAAACTAATACTATCTTATTATAATATATAAGACTTTAATATTAATAACTATTTAATATAATAAAATAATTTTATAATAGCTTAAAATAACTTTATAATTAATTATAATTTTTAAATAATAATAAAAAAAACTAGAAAAAAATAGTAATAATTATTAAACTTAAATTATTATAATAAATAGCTAAAGCCTAGTTTAATAACTAAGCTAAAATTAAAAAAGCTAAAATATTTATAAATAAATATAATAAGTAAAAAAAGAAAAAAAGTAATAAAAAAAGTATTTATTTTCTTAAAAGGAAATAAAAGCAATTAGATTTAATTATAAATATATAATAAAAGAAAATAATAATAATAATAAAATACTAAAAAAAAGATTTAATAATAAGTTATAATAATAAGTAGTTTATTTTTTTATATTTAAAAGAAAATAAATAAAATTATTTTATTTATTTTTATTTTATTTTATATATAAAATTTATTTATAATTTTATTTAATATTTATTAATTTTTAATTTTTAATAAATAAAATTACTTAAGTATTTTTTAATTTTATTAATTATAAATTAAATATATTTTTTTTAATATTAAAATAATATTTTAGTTTTTTTATATATTATATTATTAATTTTTTTTAACTTTTTTAATATTTTTAAAATATATATATAAATTTTATTTTTTATAACTTACTTAAGTATATTAATAAGTTTTTTAATTATTTTTTAATTATTTTTTAATTATTTTTTAATTATTTTTTAATTATTTTTTAATTATTTTTTAATTATTTTTTATTTATTTAGTAAAATAATTAATACTTTTTCTTAAGTTTTTTAAATTTTATTATTTATTAAATCAAATATTATTTAAATAAGCTTAATATTTTAATTTATTAAATTATATAAATTAATTTTACTTTATATAATTTAATAATATAAATTACTTTTAAAAAAGTTTATATATTATATAAAAATTACCTAAAGTAATAATTTAAATAAAAAAATCTATACTACTTTTACTATTACCTAAGTAAAAAAAAAATCTACTGCCCAAATAATAATAACACCCTTATAATATTAACATGTGTGGCAGGTATTCATTAGCTCTGGTAAGTTAAAAGTAACAGTAGAAAGAACCTGTTTATATCCTATAACTAAGTCTATTATAGCCACTTTCCTTAATCCAGCAAATGTTAGCAGACGATGGCGTTGAGACTGAAGATGCAGCGCTGGACGGAAGCAGCGAAGCCCACCATCAAACATATAACTTTGCTCCGGGAAATAATGGCGTTGTATGTAGAGCTAATGCTTCCTCTAGCGGTGTCGAAATAAAGGGCAAATGTCACTTCGCTTCCGATAATAAAAGCCCCAGAGAAGGGTCTTCCAATCTTGAGGGCCGTGATGAAGTCATCAAATACAATCTACAGTCAATGAAGTGGGGGATTCTACCTTCGTGGTCGAAGCAGAACGACGCTCCTAACCGCGGAGTCATAAACTGCAGAGATGACTCTCTCAGGACTACGGGTGGTATGTGGCAATCGATAAAAGCCCGCAAACGATGCATTGTTGTCGCACAAGGGTTTTTTGAATGGCTTAACGTAAGTGGCAAGGAAAAACGTCCATATTTCATAAAACGAAAAGATGGCCACCTAATGTGCTTTGCTGGGCTATGGGACTCCATTCTGCATCAAGGTATGATATTGAACATGCGATAAAAATTTGCTAGCTCGCCATTGACATTGTCGTGGAAGACGCCGGAACTAGAACTTATACTTATGCAATAATCACGACCGACTCAAACCAACAGCTACGATTCCTGCACCATCGTATGCCGGTCATTTTTGATGCTGGTTCTAAAGAATTCCACCAGTGGCTTTATCCATTACAGCAAAGATGGACTGATGACCTTCAGTCCTTACTTAAACCCTTCCAAGGAGAGCTAGATATTTATCCTGTTAACAGGAACGTTGGAAGAGTTGGCCGTAGCTCTCCATCATTTATTGTCCCGTTGATTCAGAATGACGACGAGCATGGCATCATCCACTTCTTTCCTAAAATTTCCGACAGTTCAACCGCAGAAAAGCCAGAAACGCCGGATGAGACAAGAAAGTGTGAGAGCGACGATGAACATCATCTCGTTTCTTCCAGTAGCAGGCGATATTTACCTGAAAGAACAGAGTCTCCGAAGAAGCACGAGGCTGAAAGTTGCTATACTCCTCCGTCGAAGAAAAGACGCACTAAGCCAGCCCCCCAAGGCATCCAAAGAATAACGGATTTTTTCGGCCAAACACAGCGCGACAAATAAGGGGTTGATTTCCCAGCGTAGTAAGCTGGCTCTTCAGTGCTATTAATTATTTTGCTTTTTTTGTTGCTTTCCTTTAGTTCTAGCCATTTTGCTTCCTCTTTAGTTTCAACCGCTCTTTTAGGTCGCAAATAGTAATCTTTTGTAATACTGAAAGAGTTGTATTTCAGATTTGGATGTTATGTTGCGTTCCCTCTCAACGTGTTGAATATACAGCCAAAAGGCCCCTTACAATCCTCATTGCAGTCTTATACACATGTAGACGCGTTTTCCATCCGCATCGAATTAGCCAAAGTTGGCCAGTTAGCATACAGCCACAGATGGATCATATCTTCTGTCATCCCGGCTTTTCTCTTCGTTGTTTCATCGTCTTAGCCAGCCATCTTTGCAACAGGTGCAATTCTGCGGGGCGATACCTCTTGAATCTGCCGTACCTCTCTGCCTGTATCTTGGGACCAGTGGCCATGAGCTTAAACGACGTAATTTTGCGATCTGGTAGGCTCTCTATGACGCTTTGAATCTAATGTCGATCTATTCTCATCCCAAGCGAACAGCGTACCGAAAGGAAAATGCTGGATGACAGGAAACTTTGATAGAACCTCTGCGTTGAACATTTTGATCATCCCTTTGTTAATTTTGCCCCATCCGTCTTTTATGCCGGAAATATCGAAAAGCATCGGGCTATGCTCCCAAAATGGGCCTTTTTTAACATCGTTGATAAATGCAACGGCCGAAAAATACATGTTAACCTGTCTCATATCCTCGACAATGCTGGGGTTGGTGATATCGCTTGGTTTCGGTGCGCCTCTTATAGAGCCATCAGTGGGCATAGGATCATCTTCGCTAATGAGTGGACGGGTAAGTTGTGCAGACCCGAAAATATACGGAATGAATGAATGGTCATCTAAGCCCCATACACCATGGGAACCTGCTGGCTCAAGAGTATATGTCGTAATGAGTTGCCTCACGATATCGATGTACCTAAAGAAGTCAGCTCAATGTCGATGATTTCGTAAGCTCATTACTTACGGTTCAATAACCAGGAGTACAATTTCCCTTTCAATGTGCCCGCCTTGTATTCCGTCCTTAAAATGCCCCAACTTCCATAGACATCCAAGGAAAGCAATGAAACTAAGCTCATGCCCTGTGCCGTAATCAAGACGCTGCGGGCTGCCGAATGACCCGAGCAAATAACTTGCTACCTCATCTTTAGCACGCCCGTTGCCAACCCGGAGAGTTTCCGCAAGTAACCCATTGTCCAGCAAGTTATCCAACTCAGCATTGAGGAGTCGAAACCATGTACGAAAGCTCACGTTTCCGAATCTGTGGGATCCAGGATCTGGAGGCGCTTTGCCAATCAGAGTGCGGATGCATGATAGAAGTGTCTGTAATGATTGAATGGAGCGCGTTGATGTTGTCTTCGATCCAAGAGGATATACAGAGAGAGAGGAACCAGCTAGTTGTCGCGGGCAAACGGCGTGGTTGAGTTGAAGAATGAAAAGGCCAATGTCTCGGTAAGCTTCGCTGACGAGAAATCTTTGGACATCCTCTGTTTGATGTATACGCTTGATAGGTGTCTGAAAAACAGGCGGACAGGAAGAGTCGATGATGTCGAGAGAGGCCCCGTCTTGAATATAAGCCATTTTCAACATAGATGTTTGTATATAATATATACTACTAGAAAGCTACCTACCTAATAGACAGGGTGTATTTAAAAGTTAGCTAAGCAGTACTAGTAAATCATACAGTTTTAGTTATTAAATTAGTATAAAGTTTATTTATTTTAAAACTAATTGAAAACAATTTAAATTTATATTATATATTATATCTAATTTTTAGTTCCTATTTTAATAAAAAAGCTATAATATAATATATATTTAATTTTACTTTTATTATAATATTACTTTAGTTTGTTCTTATATTTTTAATATATATACATGTAAAAATTTTTTTTTTTACTTACCCGCTTTTAGTTATAAGTTATATAACTAGCATTCTTATAGCTAGTTTTAGGAAGTAAAATTAGCATAATATTCTATATTCATGCTGGTGGTGTAAACATTGGCCTTGCCTGGGTACTTCGGCAGCCATAGCGTATGGGCTACCTAGGAGGTACCAGGGATGATAGGTATGCTGTCATGTGCTTCGCATTGACTGTCCATGTTTTATGTCTACGCCGTCTAAAGAAGCGCTGTCTCAGGATATTCGCGCCCATGCCTAATGATCAACGCCCTCTTTCCTTGCCATCAAGCTATACCTGTCGCATTACCACCTTGGAGACTCTCTATTTACGGCCTCCTCATGTGGCGATAGACGTTCTGACGACAACCCGCTCAGGAGGTGTTCACTTGGCCCACCATCCGTTGCTGGATGGTCCCTCAACTTACTACGCACGCATCTCACTGAATGCTTAAGCCAAAACCAAGTAGCGAAGGGTTGCGTGTCTAAAGTCAAAGACCATAGTTAGTACCGGCCTTTGCCCGGGGCTTCCGCCTCTTTACGGCCTTCGCGCCATTCTTGATGATGGTATGTTCTCTCCGGTGGAAGTGATTGCTCGGTGCCGTGTACGCTACCGAAGCGGAGTTCATATGTAGAATGGAACACGTCGGTATGCCATGGCCATGGCCAAAATTAATCCAAGCATCATTAGAATAACAACGATTCCGACATTGCGAACGTCGCTAATAAAATCGGAGGATAGACATCATCTCGACTTCATGGCGAACTTGCCGGCTCCCTTTCCCCACGGCGTGGCCACTCTAGCCAACTGTCAATTTCGGATCCTAGCCACCATGTAACGGAAACGATTGGAAATCTATACGATGAAGATGAAGACGGCGGTTCCGACACGAGCCGTCCACTTAGTTTTATGACGGATATGGCGTACCAAGAACAAATAGCCCAGTCGCAACACCAGCGCAATGACAAACTGTCGCACTCAAACAAGTTGCCGAATCTTTCTCTACAGCCAGTATCCGATATGCGGCCACAGTCAAAATCTTACAACGACAATGGAAATGCGAGATCTCCCCAGAAAAGCCCCGTTAGAGGAAATAGCCAATGGAGCGACCAACGGGACCAGGATACAATGCCCCTAACCTCTCCTACTCTGTCGCTGCGAGAGTTTCCTCTGACCAATATAGATAATCCAAATGACATCGCTCAGGAGCTGAGTAATTTACAAGCACTGAGGCGTTTATCTATGGACGTGGGCAACAGCATTGATCCAGATATGCCTCCAATGTCTCTGGCAACCATGCCGGCTGCAGCACCCCGTGGAGACGACGATGAGAACGACCCCTCGAGATTACTTTGGGTGCCGGCTAGAGTACATCCAGAGCTAGCGCCTACCGAGTTCAAGACGTTCTTGGCAAGTCGCCTTCAATCAATACGGAGGAGATCGGGAGATTCCTTTCTTTCGGTCTCGGATGAAAAATACGGCGGTGGCTCTGATTCCATGGGCTCATCATCATTAAGAAGAAAGAAGTCTATGCTTTCACGCCAACTTGACAACCCTGACGATCGAGCATTTGAGGGATCCGCAGATGGCACGGACAGATCAGAGAGGCATAATTTCAAGGATAACCAGCAAGATCGGGAACTGAGTCTAGACGAGCTAGTAAAAGATCCTTCAAAGGCAGTTCAAAGACTTACTCAAGAGTCCCATAGCTATTCAGGGAGCTTAGAGACTGGGATGGATGACATGCCTATTCTCCCTGCTGCACCCAGTAGCGGATTACGGAGATCAACTCGCACGACATATCGAAAGGGGGGCAGTTTGCGATTTGGAGACAAAGGGTCCTTATCCAAGCGAATGGCACAACGTCAACAAAGCGGCGAGAGTTCAGAATCCCCTTTTACCTCAATTGAAGATAACCCTCAGGAGCATCCGTTAGTGAGAGTGCAGTCAGAGTCTTCACATGAGAACTTCTCAAGACCTACTCGCCCAGATCGAAGACAAGAGAGATATTTGGAAGATCAAGACGCGGTATCAGCAGATATCGACAATTCACCAGCATCGACACGCCACTCGGAGTTCTCCGCCCGAGGATCTTCAGCCCAGCCCAACTCATCTGCTAATGGAATTCCAGCGCAAGATAGACCAGGCGCCTCTCAAGATAACCGGTATTCAGAAACCTTTCCACAGCGATCTTCTTCCCAGGCTATTCCAGCGACAACAGAATCCGGACAAGAATCTACGTCAGAGACTATGGGAGAAAATTCACAAGGCAATTTGGGCTACCACACTCCGCTCGGCCATACTGGGTCTGTAAGCAATAACAGTTCACCCGGATCTGTGAAGCCTTCTGTTCCTGCCATAATACAGACCAGCAGCACCGGTGCGAACTCAGCCCAGTCAAGCATCTCAAATGGTAACACTAGTCGTACCGAAACGCCAAGTGCTACTCCCGTGCACTCAAAGGATGACAAAAAATCTGATAAGAAGTCTAGAAAAGACAAAGACAAAGACAAAGACAAAGACAAAGACAAAGACGAAGACTCTCATAATTCCACTAGATCTGGAGGCGCTTGGAAGTGGTTCAAGGGTGTGGCGGATGATAGGGACAAAAAGAAGGAAGAAAGCAGGAAATCTAGGCATAAATCCTTATCTGAAAAAGCTCAGGACAATGTGCGACTGGATGTGATTCAAACTTCAATTGAGAAGAACGCGACCAAGGGCCGTGAAAGCCTAATTCTTGACCGAGAAAATACCGACAATAAAGTCTCAGACGAGAAAAAGAAAGAAAGCAATCGAAAGAGCGATTCGAAGAAAGAAAAAGACGGAAGCTTATTCTCATCCATTTTCGGCGGAGGCAAGAAGCGAGAAGAGAAGGAAAAGAACAAAAAGTACCAGCAATTGCTGCATGTCCCTGAGGACATAGTGCCTTACAAGCCTCTGCAACCAGATGTTGACTACAATTGGAGTCGCTTCCCTCTTTTGGAAGAGCGCGCTATCTATCGAATGGCACATATCAAACTGGCTAACCCTCGCCGATCCCTCCACAGCCAAGTGTTGCTGAGTAACTTCATGTACAGTTATTTGGCAATTGTTCAAGCCATGCACCCCCAAATGAATGTCCCGATCTCACCTCAACAAAAGCGATTAGAAGAGGAGGCACGCCGTAAACGTGAGGAGCAAGAACACTTAGCTCAGCGTGACGCACAAGATGAGCAAGATGACCATCAGAGTCTTGATCAATATGATTTTGATTATCATCGTGTAAGTCACCCCATGGTCATGAATGAGAAGCATACTAAATTAGCCAGATGGCGGTACAATACGCAGATACCAATTCCGACAGACCGGTGGAGTATGTGGATGATGCCCAAATATATGAGGATGATCACACGAGTAATAACCGGGAGAGTTACGGTGACGATGATGGAGGCGGTTACAGCCAAGAAATGAAAGACTACTATCACGATCATATTGACGCATCAGATCGCCATGGCGGCCAAGATGGCATCTGGTGATGCACTTCAGCAAGGTTGGCTATATGTTCAATCTCACGAAATATTATCCTTATTTTAACGCAACGAGCATGTTCGGTGGTCAAGATGGCGTGCAGATTTTAAGTTTTCATGATTTCTCCCTCTTTTCTTCTTTTTTTTTTCGGCGGAAATCTAGTATACAGTGGCGTTTTTGGAGCCTGGCATGCGTCATGTTCCTCCTGTACAGGGAACTCATGGGAAGGGTACGCGAAGCCGTGATGCAATATTGTGGCCGTATTTGGTAGGTATAGATGTTGAATGACCTATAGTTGTTATTATTAGAAGCATTGAGGCTGAACTTCATATTCGATTATGGGTATGGCATCTTTGGATTGAGTGGCTAACAATTGCGGAACAGCCTTAACATGTCATCGATTGCCCGTTTTACCTACCTGTATGTTGAAATATCTACAAGTGGCTAGGCGTGGAACAAGATTTAATTCATAGCCTTTTATCCTTTTTATAGAGGTATGATGGCAAGATTCTGAAGCATTCATCATCGCAATAGCATTCTCAATACTTCGAGCAGCCTTAGAATAGCCTAGTCTACAAAGATAGAATTAGGATTTGACAATTGCATAACAAAAGACCGGATCACAGAATTAAGAAGAGATAAGGAATTGTGTTTTTAACGTCTAATAGTGATACAGTGCCTGCTTCAACTGTGCTCGGGGCAAAGTATCTATTGCTTCTTCTCCTCTGGTTTGGGCACGGGCAGTTTGAAGGACTCAGGCTTGAAGTCTTCGCCTTGGCCGACTTGCTCCCAAGCGCTGGATCCGCCTTCGAAGTTTCGGAATGCCTGTGTAAGCTCCAGGGGCTCGGTGACGATTCGCTTCTTTTCCTCATCATAGCGAATTTCCGTGTATCCCGTGAGCGGGAAGTCTTTCCGCAATGGATGGCCTTCAAATCCATAATCCGTCATGATACGCCGGAGATCAGGGTGGCCCGTAAAGAAGACGCCATATAGATCGTATACTTCACGCTCATACCAATTGGCGCCTCCAAATAAGCTTGTGATACTCGGAACAGGCGATGATTCGTCCGCGTAGGTTTTCACTCGGATGCGAGAGTTATATCGAACGGATAGTAAGTTGTAAACGACCTCGAAGCGCTTGCTGCGTGTCGGGTAGTCGCACCCGGTGACGCTGCTAACCTGGGTAAACTCTGCAGCAGTATTATCTAGACACAACAGGTCAGGCTATGTCAATGTATATAGGTAGTGGTACGAACACTTGAGGAAGGAAAACACGGGGATGACGCCAGCTGGAGAAATGTAGATGGTGAGCTCGTCTTTCCAAACGGAAAACTGCTGAACATATTTTGGGAGACATCCCATTAGCCAGGTGCCGTATCGATGGAGATTGTCTGCCTTGCTTTGATATTTGGCTGTTGGGTTGACAACTGGCGCCTTAAGAGTTCCAATTGGCTCTCTCGGAGCTTTTCTCATATTATGAGCATCTTGTGGCATTGCGACCATTCGGAGAGGAGAGGTCGATAGTACACGGGCAACTTGTCCAGCGCGAGCTCGTGCCATGGCTTTTGTCGGCTCCAGAATTGAGCCCGGAGCGGCTCTCCATGAAATTTTGGTTGCCATAGTGAACCAATGACCTGGTGAGCGTACTGACCATGAGACCTCTCGCGAACTGGTGGAGGAAGTGAACAAGGCAATTAGCTCATGCCTCCGCGGATTCGGATTGAATCTCCGATGATTTGCCGCCAGGTTGCATGGCGGGGCGCGAGAGAAGTGAAGAATTGTTGGCACTAAGGCATCACGTGAAATATGGACCTTTGATTCTCGTACCAAGCGGCTGGCCTGTCCCACACCATCTTCTGAACAAACATCCTCAGCTATCAACCGTTTGGCAGCATAAATCACTATTGTTGTATTTTAGAGGCCGAAGGACAACCCTCAACGCAAATATGGCACCCCAAGATTCTTTCATAGAAGAAGAAGAAGATGTCTGGTATGTCAGCTCCTGTGCTCCGCTTAATAGGAGCCTTGACGTCTTCTGTGTTACAAACCACTTAACAAGTCGCCATAGTCCTCTTTGCATCGAAGAATTTGATTTGTCAGATCGAAACTTTCGACCTTGCCCGTGTGGCTACCAGGTAACAATAGATTCATCCAACTTTCGAGAGAACTGTGCTGATCCTGCATGCAGGTCTGTCAGTTTTGTTTCAATAACATCAAGAACAATATGAACGGCCTATGTCCTGCGTGTCGACGACCTTACGATGAAAAAACCATACAGTGGAAAGTCGTGACGACAGAAGAGTACGCTGCATATCCACAATAGTTCCTTTTCTACCCTCCCGATAATCGATGCTGACGAAATATAGAGTTGCCGAGTTCCGTGCCAATATACAAAAGAACCAAAGAAAGCGAGTTCAAGAACAACGTCAAAAGGAGGCTCAGAAGCGCGAGGCCGAGAAAGAGAATCGCAAGAACCTTATTGGAGTACGTGTCGTGCAGAAGAATCTCGTTTATATTACAGGTCTGGCACCTACCGTTCGTGAAGATGAACTCCTCAAGACCCTCAGAAAGCCCGAGTTCTTCGGTCAATACGGAGCTATCCAAAAGATTTCAATTAGTAATCGAAAGAGCTCAGATGGTCAACATCATTCGTTGGGCATCTACGTCACTTTTGAAAAGCCCGAAGAAGCAACTCGATGTATCCAAGCAGTCCACGGGTCACAAAATGGTGATAGGATATTGAAAGCCCAGTATGGAACGACGAAATACTGTTCGGCATGGCTCAAAAATGAAAAATGCAACAACCCAGGCTGCATGTTTCTACACGAACAAGGTGATGAAGAGGATAGCTACACGCGCCAAGATCTATCGTCTATGAACGGCATCCACACACAAAGGCCGCTACCTAGCGGAAACAATGGCTCTTTCCGTACAACCCCTCGGCAACAAGTCTCACAACCAACCTTAACACCCATGTCACAGTCTATGGCACGGTCTTCGAGCAAAGATGGCTCGGATTATGGACTGGATGGGTCTGCCTTGCCTTCATCAGCCAACTGGGCGCGAAATCCGCAGCGAAGCCGGAGAGGCAGCCATGCAACCAGCGGCGCTCCATCTAGTCCTGCTGCCTCAGCCTCCTTACCTACGACGACGGAGATTGCCCAAGCAGCCGTGGAAGATACTGAAACCTCCTCCTCTGCATCTCAGCCTCTGGAAGATGATAAAGCGTCAAGTAAAGATCCTACTGAAGAACTACAGGGACTACCACCAAAGAACTCGCTGGCGACCATTCTGCATGCGCTACAGAGCTGCACATTTTCAAGCTTTGTTACCCCACAGGCGAATGAACTAGACCCTCCGTTGTTCGATATCCGAGGTGGCGAAAAACGAAAAGCAATGCGTGAGGATGATGACGCCCGAATTAGCGGCGACCAGAAGAATGCTGCAGAGGGCCAAGTCCCTTCGGAGAGCGAGGCAGAGACTGGTGGCAGCCTTGCTCTTGGTGGCGAACCAGAAGAGCGAGATATGGCTGGTGATGGGCAAGCGTTTGAGCACCGACACATCAACACATTCCCCCCTATCCAAAGAAGCAATGCCGATACTTTATTCGGCCCTGCTCTCAGTGGCTCGAATTTCAACCCTGGTACAAACCAAATGGGGCGAGGCATCATCCCTCAGCAGCTGATGTCACTTCGGCCTCAGTCAGGATTCGGTGAACAAGTTCCTTCTAGTCTGTCCGGCCAGACTGCTTTTCCAAGTCAAGGTCATAATCGTCAATCATCTCGATTTAGCTTTATGGCTGATAGCCCGCCAGCAGCAACCAATCTCAAATTTACCGCGAACCCTAGAGTAATGGGCCAGCAGTCATCAATGTTGCCTGCCTCGTTACAATCTTCGGGCAACAGCCACTTTTTCGGGAGCTCTATGCCTGCCCCTCCACCTGGACTAAAGTCCACTAATACGCCACCGAATATTTTCGGCCAAGGATTTGGTGGTTCAGCATTCGGCACTGCGACGAAAGACTCGTCCGGCGATTTACTGCAGAGTTTAATTGGCAGAAGCCGAGGCGGCGGTAACCAGCCTCATGATGGTGGAAAGCGTGAGTACATGATTTCTTCTTTTTCTAATCAGTATCCACCACCCTCAACCTCTACCCCTGCTCCTACTTCTGGCCTTTTGGCATCGCTCTACGGTAACCACCCCGGAGCATTCCAAGACTTTGGCTCGAAGCAGAAGAAGAAGGGGAAGAAGCATAGACATGCTAACACTTCCTCCTCGGGGGGGAGTGGTCTAGTGGATCTTGCGGACCCGAGTATACTGCAGGCGAGGATGCAGCACCAATCGCAAAGCAACACCGGAGTCAATCAAGGAGTTTTTAGCGGTCAGAGCCAAGGTGGGTATGTCCCGAATATGATGTATAATTCCAGTTATGCTCGGTGGTAGCATGACAAAGGGCATTACATGATATTTTGATTTTCACTGCACAACTTTATGCTGTACTAGGAAAGGCGTTCAAGAACACTTGCATTTTAAGCTGGAGATAATTTTTAAGGATTTGCGTTGCATACACTGGTTCCAGCGGGCATAATATTACGATAACGGCTAGAGGAACATACTTCTCTCTCCGGCCAGGCGCATTTAAAGTTGGCGATGGTTAACTCCCGTTTTCATTTTCATTTTTTTTTTATTCTTTTACTTGATTTTTTTTAACGGGCTGAGGGTTTTTTTTTTCCCTTGGTTCATATGGACTGGCGCAAGCTGAATGTGTCCAACAAAGGCAAACCATCATCGTCTTCCCACACAGAGTCCCCCATGTATGTTAACGGATTGCACGAGGTCAGCACCATCGGCGTCTCCCTTGACCGCAATATAGCATCATACTGTCAAATTTTCAAACTTTATCTACCTTCCCCTCGTTATTCCCCGTGGAAGACGATGATGGAGGTCGTAGGATGACACTTTCTTGTCTTTGTATTATGAAGAGCCCCAATCCGTAGCCTGTTATCCCGCTCTCCCTCCACTACACTGTGTTCAGAGTTCTTCGTTGTATTCCACATTTGCTAATGTGTGTTCTTTAGACAATGACTTGCAATTATCAGACGAAGCAAAGTTGTCAGTGGACGCACTCGTCTCAGACGATTCATCACCGGCGGTAGCTAACGCTGAGCCCCGTTTTCACCAAACTTCCTACTTAAGTATATCCGATGTGCCCAACCCCAATGATATACGAATTCAGGGCCAGCTACAGAGGGCGCAAGTGCCGCTGGCTATGCCTTATGTTCAACCCACTGTTTCGGTTAATGATCCAACTCTATCCAAGAAACCGGCTTCAAAATCGAATATACTTAACCAAAATGTAGATCTCCGCACCAAAGCCAACGCGGCAAAAGATTCTTTTCCTACCGCGGTGTTTGGTTCTTGGCCTGCACCAACCAAAGGGCCTGTACTCGAAGACAAAGATTTCCCTGCTCTAGGTGCGCCAAAAGCAAACGAGGTTTTAGGTGCTGGTACCGGCTCAATTCCCTCTAAAGCTGTCGTGTTGAAAGCCATACCAGCAGCAAAGAAACCCAATGAAAACTTTCCAGAGAGCCCGCAAGAAGATCAGAGAGATGGTCTTTACGCAGAATTTCAACCTATAAAAGGCAGCCAGATTAAAACCTTGGCACAGTCTGCTCCGAACTTTGGAGCTACCTCCTTCCAACCAAAAGAAGGGGCCGAAAGGTTGGATGAATTTGCAGAAACTTCTAGATTTCCGCCTTTGCCTACTCCTTCTGGAGCTGGTAGTGCCACGGTCATAGCATCGCGAGGCATGCCGAAAACGTTGAGAGTAGTTCCTTCATCAGTAAAGATTGAAGCTCGCTCAGCTTCACCGTCACCGGCCCCCATCTCCAGCGTGGTGGTATCCGCGACGGGGAAGCCGGGAAACTCGCACCGACCTGGCACTCCAGCTAGCGAAATGATTAGTGACACCGCCTCTATCACTTCAGCTTCGGTTTCCATCTCCCGGGCTGGGTCCCCTCCCCTTAGCAAAATTGGCAGTGCCCCAGTACGAGGAACCACCAAAAGTCAACAGCGCAAGCAGCGTAAAGACGTGTTGAAACAAGAAACAAAAATTCTGGCTGAAACACCCAAGACCGAAACAACAGAACATGCCCCTGTAATTGGAAGGAAGAAAAAACAGAAGAAGGAAAAGCCTCCCAAAGAATCCAATGCTTCATCTTCAGCAGCGACTCCTATCGAACCACCCAGAGAAGAAATGGAAACACGGTCCAAGGGCAATAGAAAGCAAATAACGGACGACAATCATCAAGGAGACTCGAAAAATGAGGGCACGAGATACAGTCACGGTGCCACTCTAGACTCTGGGAGCTCGGAGAAAGAGATACAAGAAACAGCCACCGCGCTACCCGCATCATCCTTGCTTGGGACATCTGAATCAACCGATAAAGCTCTGGAAAGGCCACAATCCAGCCCTGCATCTGTCTTTGCTGATATTAAAGAATCTCTCTGGACTGCTGCTATAGATAGATTGCAACTATTGAAGCCTGTCTCGAGCAATTCATCCAGGCTAGACAACAATGCCTCAAATGCCATAGGTAAAAAGGAGGATTGCAAAGAATGTTCCTGCAGATGTGGCGAGATGCAAGACGCTGATCTTGCAGCACTGCGTGCCGGCAGGCCGGTGCGTAAGCAATTTCATACAGACGGCAGCCGCATGCTGATCACGCCTCATGGAGACTGCATCCGTGGGCTAACTCCAGAAGAAGAGGATACCTTCCTGGCCCTCCAAACGGCCATTGCGGCGACGGCTGAGAATCCTGCAGCCTTTGTGGCACCAAGGCACCAGCCGAGCAGCGGAGCATTTTCACTCATCAAGGGTCGAGCAGTCCCGAATGGACGTCCGAATATTTTCCCTTCTACTGTCCAGCCGCAGTCGCAAGATCCTATCGGCAAGCTCCAGCGAGAGGATGCTCTGAGCTACATCAACCAGTATGTGCTGCCTAGACTAAGCCTCGGTGCTACTAGCATGGGATTTCCAAAAGGGGCTTCTTCGACTCGAGACTCTGCGAGCCTCAATTCTCTGGCACCGTACTTTTACGGCCCAGATGCTGCTGCCGGAGTAGGGATTTATAGCACACCAGAAAGCGCTCGAGCTATACAAGATTTTGCAGCGCCAGGAATGTCTCTGGATGAAATTAGTAAAGGCGCGGCTGCAAGTTCAATTGGAAATATGCCGCTAATGAGCGTTGAGGACGCGGAGGCTGCTTTGATAGCAGCAAAGAGAGAGACCGAGAAGCTTGAAAAAGGCCTGAATCTGGTTATAAAGCGAAACCGCAGGCTACTACTACTAGGGGCCTGATACCTACATTAATTAGCGACTTGATGCCTACACCAGCGACTTGCATACACTCCTATCAATGTAGCTAGCTAGACAGTATGCATAATTACATTGTATATTTAATTACCGAAAGGCAGCCTTGACGTCGGCCCTTGGCCATTCGAAGATAACCTCGCCGCTATAGACATCGGTGATGATCCTGCCTATCCTGCTTTCAACGCCAACATAGAATTCCTCGCATTCTTTCAAGACCCTGATAACCAGCCCACGGCTGAGAGTTGGGTCATCTGCATCGCCAAAATGTTTTTCTACACGTTTCCGTAGCGTTTCAATCCCTTTTCGCACCTCCTTTGAATCATAGGAGCCTAGAACCTTGTTAAACGCTGCCTTATTGTTTGAAGGTTGTCGAGCAATCGCCATAGCCGATTTGCCGGTTTGTAGCTGCGCTTCAATGTTTTCAATTTGTTCCAGGAGTCTCCCCAGAGGCCGCCGCATTACTGTGTTCAAATATAATGCCATGTGTTCATGATATTCCGTGTTTGCTTGCGTTTTCCAGCCTTCTAGGACATCCAGGCCGCGGGTGTCGGTCTCTTCGAGAAAGTGATTCATGTTTTCAATCAACAGAATGTGAAAGTTGAGAGCCTCCTTATCCTCCGGATCAGCCGTGCCGCCTGCAACTCCGACTGCAGGGTGCTCGCGTGCAATAACCATTAATGACTCGAACATGGTCTTCAAGATACGATCATACTCCCGATCAATTGTCCGCCGCAGTATTTGATTATGATCAACTCCGGCGATCATGTTCTCTACAGCTGTCATGAATGCGGGAAAGATTCGAATGAAAGAAATGACGCCCTTGCGCTTCTTGATCTTGACCTTCGTGTCCTCGATAGCGCGGATCTGTTCGTCAACAAACTTTCTGAATTGTCCCTCTAGTGAGACATGCAATTTCTGAAGAAGGGCATTGAGGAAATCCTGATTAGATTGCCCCATTTCAGATAACTTCCTCTCGAGTGTAGCAAGCACCCCAACTCCTTGCCTGTGTCCTGGTCAGCCATGTACGACATGCAAGCGATACTCATACTTACAGCGGATCTTGAGCAATAGCCCACTCCATAAGCCTTCGCAACTCCGCTTCGAGAAACGCAAAAATGGTCTCCATGGATCGTGTAACGCGACGGGCAAGCTCTCGGTCAGGCTCCATGAGCCTGTGGCGCCTTAGGTCGCCTCCGCGGCGATCTTGGGGAGGACATGCGGCAACAGCCTCAGGAAAGTCTGTTTGTTCCAGCGTTGTTGCGTGGAAGAAATCAACAATGAAATTTTGTTCCATTTCAACAAGAGGCAAAAGATCATCCAGAACGCCAGAGAAGATTTCGTAAGGTAGGCTTCTGGTATCGGCGCCATTCCTGTCAACATGCACCTTGGTACTGCCGCCATCCGCCAAAGGGGAGCGTAACGCTTTAGCCAATGTTTGGCTACGCTTAACTGTCAGTTTTCGAGCTGCTGTAGCTACGCCTTCTTGTTGTTTCTCAACCTGGGACGAGAAGATGATCTCTGCTTCTTCTCCCGTAAGTTTCCTTGCATTTTTTCGCCATAGCGCAACGACGTGCTGGAACTCATGCTTATATAGGGGAGAGCTCTTGTCTTGGTAGACCTGCATAAGATGGCTCCAATTTTCTAGATCTGCATCTCTCGCGTAGAGCATCAAGGGGCTATACTTCCACAAAAGATCTCGTCCAACGCTATGGTGTGCAGGATCAATCTTTTTAGAAAGCGCACCGTCCAACGCTCTCTTGGTTTCAACGTAAGCTTCTCCGAATTGTAGGGTCATGAAATCGAGTAGCCGTTTCATAAAATACCTGCTCTCATGCAGATACATTTCTCTCTTTTCTTGCACGATCCTCATCTCGCCGTAACTAGTGTTTAGTCCCAAGGCATTGTCTGCATCTAGGACAGAGTCCATAGCCTTCGCAGTGTCGTCAACTCCAAGAGATGGATCGATTTTGGTCATAGCTCTAAAGAGCGTTACAAGCGAGAGCTCGACTTCTTCCAAGCCACGAGGGTTGTCCAGGGGCGCTTGTTGGAGTGCCTGTAGATCGTTGGAGGTAATAGCACATGTTTCTAGGAGAGACTCTAGTTCTTTCCTCAACAATTTTTGATTGGCTGTTTGTACCTGTAAGCCCTGGCCTTGGGCTTCGATATAAGCAATATCATCCGATAAGGTCTTCAAGGTATTAGCTAGCGTTTAATTACCTGACGTCGATTGAACTTACCGATAATTCCACGGAATATAGAGTGAGCAAGTTATCCAACTCTTCACATTCGCTCATGGCGAGGTCAATTCCCCGCTTGATAGTGTACACCCTTTCATCTTCTTCCCGGAAGCGTGCCAACCAGCCTCCCGCCTGAACTGTGTTTAATTCTCGCTCAAGGTCATTGCTTATATCGTCCATGCTCAGACAGTGCATTTGATCGCCGGGAACCCAGCCGAAGAAGTCTAACCATTTGCCGAATTCCTCACCCCGATCATCAAGTAGGTTCGGATCAACACCCAGCTTTTGGAAATACCTGGCGTCTTGTCCGACGACCGCAGGGTGGCGAGAGGCTTCTTTCGGAATGGTTGCGTCTTTCTCAACTTCATTGACTTCTTTAGTTAGTTTAGTTAGTTCTTGTGAAGTTGCTTGGTTACCGGACTCTGCCGATAATATTTTGACCTCTGGTATTGGCAAGTCGCCAGTTGGAGGCTTTGGAAGCTCAAGAGTCGGCAGATTTGCATCGCGAGATACAGGCCTAGGTGGCGCAGGGACGACACTTGTGATGCCATCAGGACCTTCGTTTGCTTTGGCTGCAATTTGTCGGAGACGTTCTCCGGCTCCTCCTGGTCGAGGACGGAAAGCATTCGCAGCAGATGCAGCCTTCCAGAAAGCACCAGCAACGTCTCCTTTGGATTTTTTGGCTTTTATCATAGGACCCAAGCCAGGCCGATTTTCCTCTTCTGTAGACTTTCTTGATTTTATCATAGGGCCTAAACCAGGCCGAGTTTCCTCCTCTGGTTCGCTTACTATTTTCTCAGGAGCTGTGGCATTGTTTGCACTTGGTTGGTCAGAGATATTTGTATCTACTAGCGCGGCAGCAGGTAAGATTTTTGTGTCGCTGTTAATACCAACGTTCTCTGGCTTTTGTTGCACACTTTCCGAAGTATCTGCTACGTGAAGCGAGCTTTCATCATGAGTCCTACCAAAAGCCACCCCTGGCTGTAACGCTGCTGGGACTGCTTGGGGGGGAGCGCGATCGGAACTCCGAGGTGGAGGTACCACCGGCTCTCTTTTAGCTGCTGAGCTCATCAAGGGAGCAGGAACCAAGTCCCTATCTTGCGGCCTTGACGGATCCATAGGGGGACGCCTTCTTTCAGGAGGTGGCTTGTTCTCTTGCGGTGGGCGAGTTACCGCAGGTATAGGGTCGTGTGTTGGTTCTGGAACACTTCGAAGTTCACCTAGCCCACTGAGGCCACTTGGCCCGGCCATGCCACTACGGGATCGCGGAGGAAGGCTTGATACATCGTCGCTCTTTGTTGCAACGGAATTAGGAATAGAGTCTTGGCTTCTGTTATTCTGAGTCGTCCATCGGGGGACTGATCGCTCTCTAGATGTAGTAGAGTCGAAACTTCCAGTAGGAGACATGGTGTCGTTCGGCGGAGGTCGGGAAAGAGGGGAAGGCCTAGGATGTCGAGGGATCTCTCCAGGGCTAGCTTTAGGGGCGCTTGAGGATGCAGCGATACTTTGCTGGCTGGCTGCTGAGTCGGTCGTTTGTTGTCGAGGCGAGGCCCCCGTTGGCCGTCTGCCAGCCCCTAGAATTTGATCCAACTCCTTCTGGTCGAATCCTGATAATTCGGGCAACCTGCCCCCTGTATATTTGCCATAAATCTTGATCAGACTCGCAATGAAGAATTTCTTTTCCTTATCAGTCTGGGCTTGCCAAAAATAAGGCTTTCCTAACGTAACGAGGAAGCCAGTTTCCCCAGCCCGATCCCGTAGACTTGGGGGGACCTTGGGCCCTGTGTAGGACTCTATGTGCGAGAGGTCGTCTAGGTTCCATGTTTTGCCAATTGAGAAAGATCCACTGCTATTTTCTTTGGATTTGTGTACCCGAACTCGTCCAGACTTTCGTACCGCTACGACGATAACTCTGGGTTTCTCAGCGTTATGACCTCGAGCCTCAGGAGGAGGCGGCATCGACGAATGTGAGGAGAATTCGGTAACGCGGATATGGGTAATATAAGTCTCTTGCACTACAGCCAAAGTCAGCTTAAGATTTGTCTTTAACCAAATTTCATAAAAAGCCAAGCCTTACGCGAGCCATCTGGGTCCTTTTTGTTGAAGCAGCTCTCAATGATTCGGCGCTTCTCGTCATCAAACCTTTCCGCCCTGTTGGCAGCTGCGTTGGAGCCGGCCACGTTCGCTTGATCCATGTTGACACCCAGAAAGACGATCGCTATTAAACCTCGTATATTAGGTCAACAATACAAACAAAACGGCCGCCTCAAGCATTGTGCGCAAGCTATGACGCGTGCCAGACCGTGAGCAATGCTAGTAGTACAACGAAGCTGCAACATCAATGTCACTCGTATTAGGGATGGATGGAAGGACCCCACAATTAGGTTATTTAGTGCCGAGCTCAAGGCGCAAGTGCCTTTAAGGCGTCAGTAGTAGAGAATACACCTACCAAGACACAACTAATATATTACTGGTATTATTACTGCTGTAGGTAGCTACCTTTAGTTAAACTTTAAATAAGAAAGTAATAATTTTCTTTAAGAAGATCAGAAACTAAACTATCCATCTTAAATGGATTTTAAATAAACTACTTTTAAACTATTTCAAAATGTTTAAAAAGCTACTGTATACTTATATAACTTTACAAAAACAGCCTTGAATAATAGTTTCAATAACTAATAATATACATGCATCTATTTGTATTAATATATAGTTATATATTGTTTGCTATAGTCTGATTATTTCTGTTACTGGTGCTTTGAATCCCACTAAGCTCTGTCCCTCTCGAAATCTCTCAATGAGGAACACTAAGCAACAAGCTAGCCAATCAGACAGCTCCATTATCAAATCCAATTCAAAGTCTTGCCACCAATCTTCTACCAGCTTTCACTCTGCCATCTTGCCGCCCCCCCCTCCAACGCATCGCAACATCACCATGCTGTCTGCCAGAGCAACGTTTCAGAAGAGCACGAGTCTCTCTCGAAGCGTTACGAGAGGCTTAGCAACCGTTCAAGATGGCGGCGCCGCACGAACATACGGAGGGCTGAAAGATCAGGACCGGATCTTCCAGAACCTCTACGGACGACTCCCCGTCAACCTCCAGAGTGCTAAGAAGATGGGCGATTGGCACAAAACTAAAGAAATTCTCCTGAAGGGCGACGAATGGATTATCAGCGAAATGAAGGCATCTGGTTTGCGTGGGCGAGGTGGTGCTGGTTTCCCCTCTGGTCTCAAGTGGGTATGTCACGGCCTCCGACCTCCAATGCGACTTTGACGAGATTCTGACACCAAAACAGTCTTTCATGAACTTCAAAGGCTGGGAAAAGGATACGAAGCCGCGGTACCTTGTGGTCAATGCCGACGAGGGCGAGCCTGGCACTTGCAAAGACAGGGAAATCATGAGAAAGGATCCGCATAAACTTGTTGAAGGCTGTCTTGTTGCCGGTCGAGCAATGAATGCTACCGCCGCCTATATCTATATCCGTGGCGAATTCTACCATGAAGCTGCCATTCTTCAGAATGCCATCAACGAGGCTTACGCTGATGGCTTGATTGGCAAGAACGCTTGTGGTTCTGGCTACGATTTCGATGTCTACATCCACCGCGGAGCTGGCGCCTATGTCTGTGGAGAGGAGACGTCTTTGATTGAATCTATAGAAGGCAAGCCCGGAAAGCCACGACTCAAGCCTCCCTTCCCTGCCGCCGTTGGTGTTTTCGGATGCCCCTCAACTGTTGCCAATGTGGAAACTGTTGCCGTTGCGCCAACTATCTGTCGCCGCGGAGGAAACTGGTTCGCCGGATTTGGCCGCGAGCGTAACCAAGGAACTAAACTGTTCTGCATTTCGGGCCACGTGAACAACCCTTGCACTGTTGAAGAAGAAATGTCCATTCCTCTTCGTGAGCTCATTGATAAACACTGCGGCGGAGTCCGCGGTGGCTGGGATAATCTGCTGGCTGTTATCCCCGGTGGCTCATCGACCCCAATCCTGCCAAAAAACGTTTGCGACGATCAATTGATGGACTTTGATGCCTTGAAAGACAGCCAATCTGGTCTGGGCACGGCGGCAGTCATTGTCATGGATAAGAGCACCGACGTTGTGCGCGCCATTAGCCGCTTGAGCCATTTCTACCGACATGAGAGCTGCGGCCAGTGCACACCGTGCCGTGAAGGTAGCAAGTGGACTGAGCAGATCATGAGCAGGTTTGAGAAGGGCCAGGGACGAGAGAGAGAGATTGATATGCTTCAGGAGCTAACAAAACAGGTTGAGGGTCACACCATCTGTGGTAAGTGCTGCTCTGCTCTTTATTGTGACCTTTTATCCCTTCTAACAAGCTATTCTTCTTTTAGCACTTGGCGAGGCTTTTGCTTGGCCTATACAGGGTCTCATTCGCCATTTCAGACCCGAGTTAGAAGCAAGGATGGAGAGTTACGCCAAGGCCAGCGGTGGACCAGCTTTGGCCGGTGGCTGGCAGCACAATTCAAGAGCTCAAGGAAGACTAGTTTCCCCGGGCCAGTAACGATGATAATTTGTATTTATAGATCATCTATTGGTATTCCGTCGCTAACAGTTAACCTGGGCGATATTGCACCATGTGTGATACGTGTCTTAATATGTAAAAGCTTTTTATTTCAAAGTGGATACGACCGAAACTATTACTTTCCGTGGGAAACGACAAGATCTGACCCGACCCCCGATGTTTAAAGAGTCTTATGTGACAGTGTAGCCGCCATCCACACGAACATCAGCACCTGTTACGTATTGGCTAGCATCAGAGAGTAGGAATGTCACAGGGCCCATGAGGTCTTGAGGCCGGCCCATTTTGCCTTGGGGAATGAGCGACACCCATTTTTGCTTCAGCTCTGGATTCTCGTCCATGATTTTCTCGGTCCTAAGCAAAGAGATGAGTTAATTGGCTAATTATGCGGCTGGAAGGGGCCCAGAAATGGCAACTCACAATGCGGTCAGCATGTATCCTGGCGAGATACAGTTAACTCGAATGCCAGCATGAGCCCACTCAACGGCAAGCGATGCTGCCAAATGACGGACTCCAGCCTTCGAAGCATTGTAAGGCCTGGTTTATTTCATGTTCTTCATTAGTCGTCTGGAGATTCTTCGACGATACATAGGTATTTGCGGCACTGTTGGGGTGAAGGGGTGTGAAAATATATCAGCATCACTTACGCTTGAGGCTGGGGAACATTGACAATGGATCCTGACATGCTGCCAATCATGACCATGCTGCCAGGGCTCTTTCTCTCCATTAGGTGGCGGGCAACCGAGGTAGCAAATAAATAAGTGCCATCCACGTTAACAGCCCAGAGTTTTCGAAGTCGATCAATTGGATACTTGACGGCCTCAAAATTTTCAGTAAAGCCAGCCGAGGTGACCAAGTTGTCTATTTTGCCATGTTGCTGGATAATCTCAGCTATGCAGGCCTCGACAGAGTCGGGGTCCGCTACATCGGCGTAATGTGCCGTCACTTTGGGAATGCTAGAAAGGAGCAGCCAGACGTGTTAGGATAGGTAGGTAGCTGGACACAGGTACTGTGCATCAAGAGGGCCACTAACCGTTCTGCATTGGGGTTTTCCTTGATAAATGCATCTACAAGCAGCTTTGTCTGCTTCTCAGCCTCCTCCTCTGCTGCCGTGTTAGATGTCTCCAGCGCAATGACGTAGGAAAAGTGCTTGAAATCTCACTGTTCATGTCAACCAAGGCTAGATCAGAACCCGAGTAGACCATTCCCTGGCCAATCACAAGCCCGAGGCCCCTCGCTCCTCCAGTGACGACACCGACGTTTCCATCAAGGGAGAAGCTAGCAAGCGTGGGCTTGACGTACTGGCCACCGGTGCCAATGACAGGCTTGCTGCTTGGGAGCTCATGCTCGGCGGGGTGTTCAATCTCAACATCGCTGTCTGTTCGAGAGTGACTGCCGGGCTTGTCCTGTCGCGGCGGCACCGTATGGAGCTTTCTTGCTGCGGCCAATGGCAGGCGATTGGCCGATGTGAACGTAAAGGCTCGGCGAGCTGCGAGCCGTAGCATGAATGCGGGAGCTCTCACCGTCGAAGCCATGGCTATGTCGTTGAGAGGAGGTTGTGTACGGTCACAGGTCGACGCGGGAGGAGAGGACGATATATATATGCCGACGGCGTAGGCCTACAGACCATTCGCTGTGCATCTCCCGATGTCGCTTATACGGCAATATCAATTGGGGTGGAGGCGACTAAGGATGCTCCATGGAAAAACGTGGATGGCCATGGCCGTCATTACTGCTGCAGAGGCTGGTGTGGATGCCAGCCTTTCGGCATTGCCACCTGTCTGCCATGTCGATCCGGGCGGCGTATTATTCATGTTGCTGCTCATCATCTGTGGTGGAATTCGGAAAAGACGCCGGGACTGAGATTGAGCCCTATGCCCACTTATCTCACGCGTAGTCTAGTGCTTGCTTTTTTCCAATTGACACTCCTTCTTTGCCCTCTTTCTGATAGCCCTACCCCCTTCATCTCACGATGTTGCCTTTGGCGGAGTTTACCGCAGACATTTGATTCAACCACAAAGTTCTGGGTTTCCGCATCCCCAGTCTTGAGTGGATAGCAAGAATTAGCGCGTGCGGACACGAAAGCTACTGTGCATAGATTTGGGGGCGTTAGGCAGCAGGATAAGAAAGCTCGTCCAAAAGACGAAACTGAACTCTATGCTAAGCTACTACTAGTATTAGGCGCTGGATGTCTCGTGACAATTCTGTCAGGGTCTTTTTGGGTCTCCAAGTAAGCTGTATACCTAGGTATAGGGGCAGCAGAGTGGTACGCTGCCATCGGGTAATGGACCCAGATTATGTTTTCCTTCCATTCGCAATTTTTTTATGTAAATACAATCGATATATACACGTCAGCTCATATACCTGGTGTAACTGAATATCGCCAACGACTTCTGTAACCCCCACGCCGATTTCTCATTGCAGAGTGAGACTGTAGAGTCTGAGTGCTTGTTTCCAACCTACTACTAGTAGTATGAGGCCAGCGGCATACGAAATACCCAGTAGAGTACCTACTAGTAAGATTTTACACTAAACCCCCAATGCAGCGTGTATGCTTTATTTAAAGCCTGTTATAGCTTATTACAGCTTTAGATATCCATTTTCACCCAAGTTCATAGGTATCTAGGGATTGTAAGTGTAGATGAGCTATAGACGCAGT